TTGAGCCTAGTTGGTACATACTACTTATAGCTTCTATAACAGAAGATGAAGTTCTACAAACTATATCTAAACTCCCTAATAGCAAGGCCTGTAGACCTACGGACATCAGCTATGAAATGATTAAACACCTTAGCAATTACTATATCACTGCTCTTTCTGCACTTTTTAATTGTTGTCTGTTCTAAAATACTATGTCTCAGTTATAAAAACATGGCAGAATTTACCCAATCCCAAAGAACAATGCTTTTGACAAAAATCTTAACCTTACCTATCCAATCAGCCTAATTGAGCATATTAGAAAAATTTATACCAAAATCTTAACCAACAAACTCAATTAAGTTTTTTCTCAGCATCCTATTCTCTTACCTTTTAATTATAGTGCCCTACCAGGAAACAGCATATTTATTAGCATATTATAAGTAGGAAGATTCCTATTCACATTCTCAACAATCTTATTGAAGATGCTAACTGTAATCACAAAGAGATCTGGCTCTTATCTTAAGATATAAGCAAAGCTTATAACTCTGTTAATCTTGATCTACTCAAACATGCTCTTTATCATCTTTCTCTACCTCAATCTATTATCAACATCCTATCTAACCTACTCACTAACTGCCAAAATGAGGTTATAACCAATTTGGGTTTAACACCTCTCTACCAAGTCCAAAATAGTATTGACCAAGGAGAGACTATTATACCCTTGCTCTGGCAGATTTATTATGACCCTCTCATTTTCTATATACATTCAACGTTCTCTGGCTACTCAATCTATTTCATGGCCCACTAATTTAAAAAACTTCTTTACCAATAAACTTGAAGCTATTGGCTTATATAGATGATACTTTGTGGATTGCATCTAGCCAAACTGAGCTATCTGACATTCTCTCAGCTACTGAATTCTTTTACAATATAGCCAATATTAAAGTCAACCTAACTAAATCTATACTATTAACTAATGCTAAGCCCAACACCTATTGCCCAATTTCTTTTAATAACAAAATACTTACCCTTTGGCCAGCTAATCAACCTTTCAAATTTCTAGGCTATTGGTTTATCTTGAACAATAAACATACCAAACAAATCCAACTTATCTTCTCAGAATCCTCTCAACTTATTAAAATTGCTAATACCAAACAAATAACAGATACTCAGGCTAGATATATCATTAACACAGTTATTATTCCTACTCTAGAATATAGAATATATAATACTACACTTAGCCAGTCTATTTGCAACAAAATTTTTAGACAACACATTAACCTTGTCAAACACAAAGCTAAACTCTGTCTTACTATTCCCACCAGTGTTTTACTTCATCTATACATATATAATATCAAAAATATCTGGAATATTCAACTGCAACACCACATTCCAAATTATATCAAACACCTTAATAATAAATCTCTTCTTGGTATAACTACTCAAATTCGAGTCCAACAACTTCAATACAATCTTTGGTCTTTTACTAGCATTCTATCTCATCCCAACCTCCTTATTGATAGCCCCAATTGGCTTACTACTAACTTCAAAATAATACAACTTTTCAAACACCTAAACTGGACAATTAATCCCAACAAAATCACCACTATTCCTTCTACAATTCAAGAGGGATCAGTTACTCTTGAATCTATTTTGACATTATATCCTAATTATGCTACTTTCAAAAAACAACTTCGTCACCACCACATACTCTTTCTTGACTAACTTACTGCTTCTGATAATTCTTGTCTTTTTGACTAAAAACATATTTCCCCAAGGCTTAACAAAATCCCTAAAGAGAAAACTCCACAATGGTTCAAATTTCTTAAAAATTCTATTATTAACTCCTCTTACAACCATTCTATTTCCCCTCAATTACAACTATCTTCTACAAATTATTAAAGCTATAATACTGGTCACTTTCCAAAACACTCTAAATCTTGGCCTATAACAATACTCAATGATCAAATTGTAGTCAGCAAAGCCCATTGCTAATCTACAAATTCTGGACATGTACTAATTACTCACTGGCAATGCAATATTACAACTACTTCTTCACCTTTATATCCTATTCCCAATATAATTTCAAATCCATGTTTTAACTACCCCCTCAACTCTAATATTATTAATAATAAATATACTATTCTTATCCCTACTAGTCATGCAGTTAAATTTCTTAGCAGATTTTATCCTAACAAATTAATTAACTTCAATGCAAACCCTCTTGATCTAATACACTCAATCAAACTTCAAGATATTATTTTAGTTTCTGAACCCCCACACCTCATTTTACAAGCCTCACAAATCCCTTTTATATTTTTCACTAATCCACTTCTAATACTTTTCAACAGCTTGCTAATCACAATTACTACTCTACTGATCTTATATTCTATACTAATAGTTCTGTCATCAACTCTGGAAACCTTCAATGCTCCATGGGGATTAGTTGGCTACAGGTTGATAATGACAATATTCATTACACATTTCATGTACAAATTTTAAAGCTGAACTGCTTGCAATCTTGTCTGCTATATGCACTGCTCCCAGAAACTGCAATATTCAAATCTTTACAGATTCACAATCTGTTATTTCTAAATATAAAAACCTAATCCAACAACCAATTAGCTTTAGTTTCTCAAATATACCTTATTGGTCAATATGGAATACACTCCTCAACTTTACTAAATCTTACAACCAAAAAATCACTTTTCATAAAGTTAAAGCATACCAGAACAATATATTCAATAACAAAGCTGATGAACTAGCTCACAATCATATTGACACACCATTTCTTATATTTAACCCTACAATATTTATAACCCTTTGTACACCTCATACCTAGAAGGCTATCCTCTTGAACTCCCTATCCGCCACAGTATTCGAACTATATATCATGCAAATATCTTTGCTCTCTGGTCATCTCAAAATTATTTTCAATCATGGATATAAATTTCCCAGTATATAAACTAAGATGCAATCTGGCTATATCTTAACAATAACTAAAAAGTTTCTAATTTTGCTCATAGTTTTCAGTCCTCTACTCTCAAAACATTTAGAGTTAAACTTCTTACTGACAAACTCCCAGCACCTCATACATTGCATAAAGAAACTCACTTTATCCAAATACTTGTTATATCTGTCATCAAACTAGCACTACATTACACTGGGCTATATGCCCTTTACCTAATCCTATTTACACACTCATTAAAAATTCTTTACAACAAACTATAACTGCTAACAAACTCCAAATATTATTATTACAAATTAACTTGTTATATAACCAAATTATCAATCTTGATAGTCTTCTAATACACAATCTTTCTGACAAACCTTCTATCCTATCTACACTCTCTGGTCTCATTCCACTTGACATTATATATACAATACATGAATTTACTACATCCAATCAAGCAGCCAACTCAATCTCTATACAATTTCTTCTTCATGTTAACAAACAATTGAACTACAATAAGGAATTCAGATATTTGAGTACAAGACCCCAACCCCAGCTAATACAACATCAGTTATCTTCTATGCTAGCACTCTCTAGAGATACACTTTCTATTTCTGACACATCTGATATTACTTTTCTAACATCTTCTTTAAAAGTATCATCTTGGTACACTAACTAGATTAAATACTGTACACATCCTTCTTATATTTTTAATTTATTCCAACTCTAGGTGAACTTTGGCCACTCTGGTAGGTTTAGGCCACAGATAAATATTTAGGTTGCCTATTAGATTTTCTAGATATCTGAGTTCTTATTCTTAAAATTTAAAACCTTTTTCAATTATATAAAAAGTTTTCATTAAATTTAATAAAGATAAGAGCAAGGTCTCACCTTAAATATTAAAAAAAAAAAAAAAAATCAAACTAGTTTAATTTAATCTATCTTATCTTTAAAAAATCTAAAAAAAGTTAGTTTATTTTTTTAATTATTTATCTTAATTATACTTTTTATATTTACTTTTTGCATACTTGTATAGATAAATATAATATTACTTATAGTAAAATAGATATATATTAAATAAATTTAGATGATTTAATGCTTACTAGAGATAAAATTTACTGGAGTACTATATCTCAGATATATACTAAGTAAATAAAGTCAGTTTCTAAATAAAAATATTTAGGACTCTGAGATCTCACAAAAACTAAAATTAGAACTTTTATATTATATTATATAAAACTCTTCTTTTATTCTAAAATGCACTCTAAGTCCAAAACATTTAGATAGTGAATTTCATAACTGATAAATATTAAAAAAATTTAATAAATTTTATTGAGTATTTTTATTTGTACTGTAGTGTATATACATGGGTATAAAAAACCAACTAATATTTCAAATTTTTGATTAGAAAACTACCTTTTAGCTTCTAACAAAAAAATTTATTGTGAGATTTTGATATAAACTATTTGTCATGGTGCTACGTGGTACCCCTGTAACTAATGATCGGGTACGTATGTGTCGTGATATAATTAATGCGTAATCAATATCGGGTGATCACGACTTAATTAAAAGTCTAAAGTATTGATACATGAACAATGAGTAAAGTATGTAATAATCAGTGACGCAAATGCGTATTAGTAATACCAGGGTTAAACCTTGGAAAACTTTGAGTTCTTGAAAGTATTCTTAGTGAATAAACTGTATCTAAATGATCGTATTATATTGGTGGTAGTATCTGGTACGATACACCAGTCATCATAAATAGGCCAAGCGAGTGTAAACTGATAGTAAAGACCCACAAATACACAGAAGTTTGGGTAACTCCGTGACAGAAAGGACCTGGGCAAGCGAAGGTCTACTCGCAAAATAGAGTTGATTTGTGCACAGGAAAGTATAAAGGCCGTGCTTGCCAAAAGTTGTGAATTGATTGCCTTAGTGGCATTTGTTGAGTAAAAGTTGGTATTCAAACATTGTGTAAGGAATACAGAAGAACATTATTAGTGAAAGGTACAAATAAATTTGGACATTGAACGATAATAACAAATACCTAAGTGGTAAACGAAGGAAAATGGAAGGTGAAATTGGTTTAGTGTCGTTAATCAAAAGTATGATAGGATTAGTTGCCGAAGCTGTGAAAAGCTTGAAGGAGATGCAAGAAAAACGACGTTATTTTAGGTCTCGGCTGTGCTATGTATGTAGACATAAAGGACATTTTGCCTGTGATTGTCCAAGTCAAGTACCTAAAGATAGAAAGAAGGTAAATAAAAAGAATAACTGAAAAGAAAGGAGAAACGACACATATCTGAATGATAACATCAAGGATTTAAGGTCCCTTAGGTTTATGAGAAAAAGAGCGAAAGTTGTGAATAATGATAGTGTTAGGAGAAGTATGAACCATAATCAAAGGCATGGTAGAAATACTAGGAATGAAATGACGCAAATGAAAGTGGAGTCATACCTGAGAAGTATATCGGTAAAAGGAACAAGTCGAAATGCAAAAGGTTAAAATCGGCGCACATTGATGGTGTCAAGGGATGTATGAATAATGATCAGAGGTTGTAAGAAAGTCGGGAATAAACTGAGAGAGAAAAGAAAGCTGAGAGTTAATTTAATCGGTCAAAGTAATACCAGCATGAATGATCGAAGAATGATTAAAAACAAACCTGGTGGCTTCGATGGAAAGAAGGCATTTGAACATTTTTAGAAACTAGCAGAAACGAATCATGCTGATGGAATAAGCAAAAGTAGATCTTCTATGGAAAAGGAATTGGATTGGAAAAAGACGAACATAAAACGTTCAATCATTATAAGAAATCTACTGATGAAACGTGTAATCCTGGGCGTTGCAACGAGTGTTGAAAAGGATGAACATAAGACATTCGTTAATTATCAAAAATCAGCAGATATAGGTTATGCTAGGGGAATGATAGCACCCAGGTGTTGTCAAAATTCTGCTGATGTGGATGATGCTGATGGAGCCGTTGATGTTGAGCATTGTTGCCAAGATGAAGTGATGGTGATGTTAGATGCGCCATTGGATGTGGTAATGAAGATAGATGAGATGATGTTAGGTTTACTAAAAACATTAGGGAAACTAGCTCAGATGAAAAAAATACTGAAGCTTATTCTAAGATCACTGAAGACACGATCGAGTTGAATAATAAGTGTAAAAAACTGTCGGTCGAGGAGAAATTTGATGATAATGATTCAGCATTCGAGGAATGGTTAGAAAAGGAATTGGATAAGAGAAGGGTGATAGTCAGTGGAACAAATGAGGATGCGAATAATGCAGATAAAGGTGTGGTTACGATGTGCATGATAGATAGTGATGAGAAGGAGATCAATGAAAGTGATAGTAAGAATATGATGGTTAGTATAGATGAAAAATGTGTGAATGACACACTTGAATTGAATAGTAAAATAGATTCGATTGAATATGTTGATGAAGCATCTACTGTTGGACGTTGTTATCAAAACGTGATTGATGCTGAAAAGAATCTTGATAATCATTATGAAGATAGAATTGGCATTGGAAAGAATGAACACAAGACAGCTGAAGGTAGAGATTCGAATGGAAAAGATAATCTTGAATCTGGCCATGGTGAAGATGTGGACATAGCTAAAGATGAAATCAAGAATGACTCCAACGAAGCATTTGATGTTTGAAGTTGTTACCAAAATGGGATAGAAATAGAAGGAAATAACCATGCAGCATCCATTATTCACCAAAGATTTGTTGAGGATAAATATAAAGCATCTGAATTGAATTTGAAGTGCATTGAAGGTGATGATATAAAGAGATAACAATAGCGATACAATGAGAAAGTTAGTGAATATAAATGGACAATCGGCGAAAGCATCAATTAGAACTAGTTCATGTGTGAACTTAATAAATATAAAATATATAGAAAAGAGAGGACTAACTTGGAGACGTTTGAACGATGAAACAACCATTGGTGAAACAAGTGATGAAGTTGTTGGATATGTCTCTGGTATTGAAATTGTTGTGAATGATGTTAGTGTTGTCGAAAAGTTTTATGTAATCCGAGAATTACCTTATGATATATTGCTTGGAATGCCGTGGATAGTGAAAGTTCAATGTGGTTTTGCATGGAAGGATGGTAAATATTACTGTACTATCGAATCAGGTAGAAAAGCAACATTCAGGATTTCAGAAGATTTTACGATTGGTGATGATATAAATGAGGATTATGTGATTAATAAAGAAAGTATGATGAAGAATGATGATCAAAGAGAAGACGAATTCATGGATGTTAGATGTGTTAAAAGCGAATTGATAGGAAATGGTGATGATGGTGTCAGTTGTACAAAAAAGAAGAAGAGGATCGTTAGCATGATGAATAAAAAGGTGACAAATCAAATGAAAGATTTGAATTTCAAAAATATACTTATGGACGAATCCTGTGATGAAGTATCTTGTCACGATAAACATTGTGTTTATGATTGTAAATCGGTGATAGAAGCCGAAAAAGATGAAAAGAACATTGTATCCGGAGGATCTAGCTCAGATTGTAGAGCTGAAACCGATAATAAAGTTGTGAATGATAATGGCAGAGTTCTGAACAGCAACTGCTGTGGTCTTCTTGTGAAGCAATGAATGAAAAGGCGAATGATGATTGTAAATAATCGGATTAAGGATCCTGGATGGTTATGAAATTCTGAACATCGATTGATCAAGATGTATGATGTTAAAACGATTGTGAATCGAAAAGTAAATAATAGTGAAAAGATGTGATTTTTCAAACGACTGTATTTGGACCATATGGTCGGGAATGATGGATTAGTTAGTGCAGTATTTGGTAGTCGTTTTGAAATGAGGAAACTTGCTAAGATGGATGTAACTTCGGGGACGAAGTTACTGGGGTTCTAGCTCGTGTCATGGTGCTACGCGGTACCCCTGTAACTAATGATCGGGTACGTATGTGTCGTGATATAATTAATGCGTAATCAATATCGGGTGATCACGACTTAATTAAAAGTCTAAAGTATTGATGCATGAACAATGAGTAAAGTATATAATAATCAGTGACGCAAATGCGTATTAGTAATAAATAAATAAGGTATCGATCCAAAAGGGGAGATACCAGGGTTAAACCTTGGAGAACTGAGTTCTTGAAAGTATTCTTAGTGAATAAACTGTATCTAAGTGATCGTATTATATTGGTGGTAGTATCTGGTACGATACACCAGTCATCGTAAATAGGCCAAGTGAGTGTAAACTGATAGTAAAGACCCACAAATACACGGAAGTTTGGGTAACTCCGTGACACTATTCTCACCCAATCCCAAACTCACCCTTACTTTAACCATAAGCAAGGGTTTAATTTTCTTTCATAAAAATTGGTTTGATTGGCACATTACACAAATGCATAAATCAAAAAATTAGTATTCTTGTATAAACACTATGTGTAAATTAATAAATTTTATTGATTTTATTATTGATTTTATTATCTATTTTTATTTTATTTTATATGTATCTACTCTCGTTATAACGGACCCTTCGGGCTGAAAGATTTTGTCTATTATATCTATAATAAATGAATATCTGTTATAATGTTATATAATATAATAATAATAATAATTTTAAATTGTTTTAGAAAATTACTCCATTATAATAAGGTATCCACTATATCGGGGTCTGTTATAACGAGGGTAGAGTGCATATCTTCTTTTCTTTCTTACTAATTTCTATTTTGATAACATAACCATGTATAAACAATTTAATCAATTATACTAAAATAGTAATTGATAGTGACTTGGTGGCTTAAACCTATGCAATAGTATTTATATTGTATATCAGAATGGAATTATAGAAGATTTAGAATCTACCTAGATTGATTTCGAATAAATATAGATTGTAATAGAATTCTTAAATGTGCTTGAGTTTTTAAAGAATTCCAATTTAACTTATAACAAAATTATATTTATTTCAAATTATTTCATTGAGTACGTTGTTTTGAAATTTATATCACAAAGATAGGATTTATTCATAACACAGTGCATTGCAAATTAATTAAATTTAAAAGCATGACACGAAATTGTTATATTTGTATTATGCAGTTTTGAATTGAAGAGGGTTGCATAATAGATGTTTTCTAAATGTTTGAGTGCTGAAAGAATACTATTTTAATCATGTATTGCAAATGTATTTTTGCTAAATACAGTACATTTGGAATTCCGTTCCAACCTAAGTGGATTCTAAATCTACAATAATTTAGTTCCAACGTATGACATATACACTCAATGATGTGTATACACTTTGAAAAGAGCATGTATGTTGTGAGGGGTGGTCGGAAACCCTTAACTATTTTTTTTTTATTATTATCATTGCTATTTGTTCTTTTCGTTTCTTTCTTTCTTTCCTTCTTTTCTTCTATCATGTTATTTGTGTTACTGCATTAGTCTTCGAAGTTCCTTTTTTAGTAAAAGAAAATTTAGATTAGCATAGCCGGATAGATCTAGCAATTGTAACCGGATATCGTTACCTTATTTAGAATATTGGACATTTGAACATTTGTATGTTCAAATATCTGAACATTTGTATGTTCAAATATCTGAACATTTGTATGTTCAAATATCTGAACATTTGAACATTGGTATGTTCAAATATCTGAACATTTGAACATTGGTATGTTCAAATATCTGGACATTTGAACATTTGAACTTTATGCCGCCTTTAACATGTTCAAATAATCAATTACCGGTGTAAGCTTACAAAAGAAACCCGTTGTATCTCTTAAAGCGCAAAAACCATAAAAGCGCTCACTTTTTGCTCTAATAAAAAACAACTCAGTTGAGTTACAACTTCGAAATCATCATAGTAGAAGTTTGTTCCTTTAAAATTATTGCCCTTTTATCCCAAAAACGATATAGTAATAAAACCTTTTCCTGACCCGATACCTTGTTTGAAGAACTTTAAACCATTGTAGAATCTAGTTGTAGTTGAGTTAGAGCCTTCGAAATTCGAGTAGAAGTGCTCACTCTACGTATTTCGCCTTTTTCTTTGAAGTTACCACCCATTCAATTGCTAGTTACGTTCATAAAACCCAATTGTAACCTAAGAGTTGTCGCTTATAACAAAAACGTTCCAAAAACCCTTTGTCCCGAACCCATTCCCTTATTAGTGAACCACATTCAATCCAAGAGCTTAGTTAAGGTCGAACCTTTGAAATTCGAGTAAAAGTGTTCACTCTAAGCTGATTACCCTTTTCCCCTAAAATTATTTACCCTTTACGTTAATAATTACGCTTAAAAATACCTTGATCGTAGCATAGATACTATTATTAATTAAAACACAAGTTCAGAGAATAAGAGAACCCTATTGCATTATTTGGTTCTTTTATACCCGCTAAATACCCGTGATCCATTGTTAGCGGCATTTATCCAACAATTAGAGATGTTAAATGATCTACTTAAACTTATCCGACTCCAGAAGTCGAGTCAGTACCAAACAAAGACTTGAGTTTTTAATCATGTGAGGTTGTACAAAAATCTAGGTATGATTTGTTTAACGTAATGCAATGTATGTCGTATATACGGTTTACTATAGATTGGAAATAACCTTGCTATATCTAAATTTCATGTGATATTAGTGGAGTTGAATTGGAGTTGACTTTAAGCAACTTGACTTTAACCGACTCGAAAACCGACTAAACCGAGCTGTTTAACATCCCTACCAACAATAAAGACCGATCATCGAAATTACCCGTGATCTCGTGACATCACCGGCAAAATCGAAGATCCGAGCCCGATATTAATTACCCGTGACGATCGTAGATTAAATTAAATCGCCGATCGCCGCACGAAATCGTGATTTCGTCACACGTGATTCTAAGAGACAATACGTTCGAAATAGAGAAGAAAAGTAGTGTTAGTAATAATATCAAAGATATTATTAAGCTACAACTGCAAGTCTAATTAAAGGAAACTTATCCAATTCCCGGAAACAACAACACAAGGCCCGAAGAACCTTAAAACCCGGACCAAATCTTTCCACGCCTCTTCCGAAGCCTTCCACTTTAAGGTTTTAGTTGCCTTAGAGTCAAAGAGTGGATTAATTCAAGTTTAGATTAGTTGGATTAGCTAGTTTTAGTCCAAAATCGTTAGTCACCCCCTTCTCAATGTTCAAATTAGAATGAAATCACTTGAAATAGAGCATAAATGCTCAAAGAAATTATATATATTAAAGACCTTTGAATTTAATGTTACTAAAGTAAATACTTCTCTTGAACTCTGATGTTAATAACCATTTGAGACTCAATTCAATGGACTGAATTGACTTGTAATTTCAATTAGCTATTACCGTGTTACCACGAAATAGCGACCATGGTCGTTATTTCGAGGTTCGGCCCGAATTAAGCTTAATTTAGGCCGGAATTCATAATCTCACTCCTGCAGTTATATGGTAAGATTCGGAATTCTTGCATAACCATCTTCTTGTGAATTATCGGAACTTTATCACTGATCCCGTCCCAGATCAGCCTTAGATCAATTAAAGTTCTTTTCGACGATAGTACCCCTAACGATATCACTTTGGCATCACCAGCATCAGCTCCAAAATATCATCCATTAAATCAAATTAGTTCTATCATTGATTCTTTTAATTGATATTTTAAGATTTATCATATATCAATTCTAGATCACCTTACTATTTGATCTTAAGTTCGATTCATTTTAAGACTCTCGGATTTGTCTATATAATCCATCCTTCTCGTACACGGTTGGAGTTAAATTGGCCTATTGCCTATAATTGTTTTATCAACTCTCTCATTCAACTGTTACACTACAATAATTATCTTTTATTTGTTTAACAATTAATTGTTTTATTACATATTTTTAAACCTTATATTGCATAATTGTTCTCATTACCTTTCATGTTATTGTTATTATCAGTGCTGATAGTAAAAACGTTATTTAAAAAATTTATATAAATATACTTTAATCTCAAATTCTATTAAAGCATTGAAATTAAATAAAAAATGAACGAGCTCGTGTCCTTAACCGAAAATAAATCAAGAATTGAGCAAAAAAGAAAAGATGATAATTCTTTGAGTTTTTTAAAAACATTCGTAAGCAGAGATACGTATTTTGTACTATCTCCGAACCAATTAGAAAGATTAAAACAGATTTCTGAAGCTATTTTTAAATTAGCTAATGAAACTTTATTAGAAATAATAAAGCAAAATGAAGTAGAATCTTGGATGGAGTCAAGATATGGTGTTGTTAGGTCACTCTGAAAAATGGTCAAACTGGAATAAATTTAGCTAGATTTGATTTTGCCTGGGATCAAGAAAAGAATTTTAAAATATTAGAACTGAATACAGGAAGTAGTGCTGGCTGGGAAGTTTCAGGCTTGATCGAGAAAGAAGCATCAGCTTACAAAATTGGCGCTCCTCTTGCTCCTCCACCAATGATTTTAGCGACTTATTTGTTAAATAAGCTAGGATCATAAATAGCCATTTTTATTATAGAACCATTTCCAGAATGTGATATATTGATAAGACAAATTGAAAGCATGGGTGGAGATGCCAGAATTTTCAATCTCATTGAAACTAGTTTCCAAGACATTATCGACTTTGCACCTACTGGAATATTTTGGAGATGTCATGAAAGATTGGTAGATCATTCAGAACTGATATTCAAGCTATCAAAATCAGTGATGGTAAATGACCTGGTCATTTGCCGATTTTTCAAATGACCCTGAATGACCTCAAAATGACTGGTCATTTGAGGTCATTCAAATTTTGGGTCATTTGGAAATGACTCATGACCAAATGACCGCGGTCATTTGGAAATGA